AAACAGCTGGGTTGCTTTCACTATTACAAATGCTGCTGCCATAAACATCTGCTTCTGAGGGAACTGCGCAGTTTACTGTATGAAAATTATATCTCAATTTGAAGAAAGAATATCAGTATGAAAAATCATCTTGCTATTATAATGTTTGAATACTTCAGTGGTTAGCAGAACAAAAACATGTCAGACAAGCCAACTGTAACAAAAATAACGTTCTTTCAGAGGAGACAGAGTTTGTCAGTAAAAACAATTAAACAATGTCATAACCATCTCAGGATGCCACCAGGGAGTTCCTAAGCGAGTGGCTGGTTGTCTGGAGAAGCTTGACCTGAGCCTCACATCCACTCAACCTGAGGGATTACACCACAGAAATATTCATTACCATTCTGACTTCTCTGTGGCCCACTAACAACAAAACCAACAATGAAGTATGACCTATTCTTTTGAAAGAGAAAGGAAAGTTTACTAAGCAAAGTACTTAAATACAATTTTTGCATAATATTACATAGAATTAGGATATTTCAAGCCTTTCCTGACTAACAGGAAAATTATTTTTTTTAACCAGTTCAGGAATATTCCTGTCCCAATATGGTTATAAATTATTTCTCATACTGCGATATAAACAAGGCCTTTTACTCTTGTTCTCTACCTCCCAAAAAAATCTCACAAAAAATAAAAAGAAAGAAATATATCTACTATGGCTAGATTTTGCACAAATGGTGGGAGGAAAGAGAATGATAGGAATTCCTGCACTGCTGTGGAGCAGATTCTGCTGTGTGCTTCACACAGGCCTATTTCCTCAATTAGCCCACAGGTCAGCCTTAACACGTTGTTAACATTCTATCTTCATCTTAGGATGAGCTGGCTGAGCCAAGGTGCTGAGAAGTGTTGAAGACACTGGATTGAAACCCAAGAACTCTTAACAGAATACATGTCTACAATTCCCATGTACTTCCTACATACCCCTTTCCCTACACAGTCCCTGTTTCAAATACACACCCACACTATCATTACCACTTTCCCACGTCCAAGTTTTTTTGGACCCCAATGACTTTATAATGCCAAATCCAAAGAACATTTTGCCTACTACTCTGAGAGGACTTTTTATACATATATATATATATATATATGGAACGTTTCACGAGTTTGCGTGTTATCCTTGCACTGGGGCCATGCTAACCTTCTCTGTATCGTTCCAATTTTAGTATATGTACTGCCAAAGTGAGCACACTTTTTAGGTTTAAAACACTCTTTTCCCCTGGTTTAACTAACCACTCCTCTAATTATTCTTTGCTTATTTTTTTAAATGTTTACTTCTATTTATTTGAAACAGCAACAGAAGGAGGAAGGGAGGAAGAAGAAAAGGGGAGTGGGAAGAAGGGGGTAGGAGAAAGAAGGGGGAAGGGAAAGGAGGAGGAGGGAGGGAGAAAAGCAGGGAGAAAGGAAGAGAGAGCCCCAGTTCACCCTCCAAATGCCCACTCCAGCCAACGCCCGCCAGGCTGAGGGCAGGAAACTCCACCCAGTTGGGGATGGAACCAGCAGAAGGAAGGTGTCTCTGCCTCTTCCTCTCTGTGTAACTCTGACTTCAAATAAATAAATGGATCTCTAAGAATTAAATCATATAATGTGACTATAAAAAATAAAATTCTCTCCTTTGATATTGTTGCCACTGCTGTTTATTTAGTGCGTTTTATAAATTAATTCTGTAAAATTGATGTTTTTTTTTGTCACATATTGCCACCTAGCTACCAAACAGATGGGGCTTCCTTAATACTAAAAGATGCCCGATTGATTTTAATAAAAAGAAGGAAAATAGACAAAGAAGAAATAAAAAGAAAATAAATAGCAACTGATGTGGGCAAGAGTGGAGACGAACAGCACCTGTGTCCAGTCCCGTTAACACCCAAACCCCAGCCCAGCCACGGCGATCCAACATCACCCTGCACTCAGCACACCAATCTCTTCATGTACCTGAGCTTCACAACCCACGTGCACAACATGCCATATCACTTCCAAGATTCCCACAAAAGTGACAGGCAACCTGGTAGGACTCAAGCTCCACCCAGGCTCCACCCAGACCCCACCCAGACCCCACCCATTCAAACACTCAAGGACATCACATACTGGACAACCCCGACTCTGGTGGAGGCAGCAGGCCTTTGCTGTACAAGGAAGGCTATCCACATTCATCCCTGAGTATGCACCATTCCTTTTGACAAATCCAGCTTTCCTGCACTGCTCTTTGAATTCTTCCACACATGGAGACAGGAGGCTGGACGACGCCCAGCCAGCAGCCAAGCTGCCCACAGCACACTGCCTGTGTGTGCACTCTATCCATCCGCCTTCAGGTCCCCATTCTTTTTCCCTCTCCCTCTTACTTACCAGAGTTTGAGCTTACTAAATCTGAATGATAAGCAGTAAATCAAAGTTAACTACTATAATGAATATACTATTAATTCTAATTTCTCTATTCTGGAATTTGTAAAAACTTATAAAAATCTGCTAAATTAACGAATAATATGGGAAAAGCACAAAACACACCTATGTTCAGAAACAGATCACACTATTTTAGCACTAAGTTATTTTAGATATGGCATTAGACAAATTTATCAATTTATAATTAATTTAATTAAGAGTCAAAAGGGTTGGTTGATTTTCTGATAAAATAGTCACATGCTCAGTCAAAAACAAAGTGAAAATAACACTCTTATTTTTTTAAAGATCTATTTATTTCTGCCAGAAAGGCAGATTTTACAGACAGAAGGAGATACAGAGAGAAAAATCCATCGCTGGTTCACTTCCCAAATGGCCACAATGGCCAGAGCTGAGCCAATCTGAAGCCAGGAACCAGAGGCCTCCTCTGGGTCTCCCATGTGAGTGCAACAACCCAAGGACTTGGACCATCCTTGATTGCTTTTCCATGTCAGTAGCAGGGCAATGGATGGAAAATCTAGAAGGGGACACAAACTGGTTCCCATAGGCATGCTGGTGTTCTCAGGTGAAGGTTTATCTAGTTTAAACATTGTGCCAGCCCCAAAACTCTTATTTCATAACTTCTAATCTCATTATCTCAAGAGAAAATAACTCCCTTGCAACACCAACATATACAATGTACTCATTAAAAATGATTCTTTTCAGAATATAGCGTCAGTCACTATATCCTCGCCTTGAATGCTCCGAAATCCCATATGTGCACAGTTTGTGTCCTGGCTATTCCACTCCCCATTCAGCTCCCTGCTTTTGGCCTGGGAAAGTAGTAGAGGATGGCCCAAAGCCTTGGGACCCTGCACCTACATGGGAGACCCAGAAGAGGCTCCCAGATCCTGATATGCTCAGCTTTGGCTATTGTGGCCACTTAGGAAGAGAACCAGTGAACGGAAGACCTTTCTCGCTGTCTCTCTTCTCTCTGTAAATAAAAATAAAATACTTAAATAAATAAAATATCTCTTTCCAGTAAAATTTTAAAATAACATTTTAAAAATTAAAATTACTCTTTTCTAGAAGGTCCAGTAAGATCTCTTTACGGAGATACCCTATTAGTTAAGTTATATAACTATCTGAGGATTATCAAACATTTAAAAATATATATAATTAAAATTAGAGTTTCAGGGCACTATAACTAAATGAAAAGCAGATGTACCACAGCCGAACAATCATTTAAAGCTAGCTATCAAATTGGTCAAGACTGAACCAAGCCCCTATAACTTTAAATGCAGATGCTGAATACCACCAGGTCCCACCCTCCAGCCTCCCGTGCACCTAGCCTCTCTCACTAAAATTAACTTACTGGGGTCAGTGTTGTGGTACAACAAAGCTAAGCCATTGCTTGAAGTGATGCCAGCATCCCATACATGAACACCCATTCAAGTCCTAGCTGCTTCATACAGGATCCAGCCTGCAACTAACACACCTAGGAAAGCAGCAGACAATCCAAGTACCTGGGCCCTTGCCATCTATGTGCAAAACCAGGTCGGAGTTCTTGCTCTGGACTTTAGCCTGTCTAATCCCAGCGACTGCAGCCATTTGAGGAGTGAACCAACGAACATTTGTGTGCTCACTTGCTCTCTCCCTTTGTCTCACTCTCAAATAAATATATATTTTTTAAAGATTTATTTATTCTTATTGTAAAGTCAGATACACAGAGAGGAGGAGAGAGGAGAAGAAGATCTTCCATCTGATGGCTCACTCTCCAAGCAGCTATAATGGCCAGAGCTGAGCCAATCCAAAGCCAGGAGCCAGGAGCTTCCTCCAGCCTCCCACAAGGGTGCAGGGTCTCAAGGCTTTGGGCCGTCCTCAACTGCTTTCCCAGGCCACAAGCAGGGAGCTGGATGGGAAGCAGACTGCCAAGATGGGATCCCACATGGGATCCCGGTGCATACAAGGCGAGGACTTTAACCACTATGGTATTGTGCCAGGCCCAATAAATAAATTTTTAAAAATTAAATTACCTTACTGAATTGAGGGAGTGGTACAGTTATTATAGGACCCATGAGGTCATCTGCCTCTCCAATAATTAACATCTTGTTGATAGATCTTGTCTCAAAGGGTTTCATTTCAGAGAAATTCCAGGCCCAGGACGAGAAGTGACTATACCTGCATGCATTCCCCAGACTGACTGAAGCTCACTTTTCTAAAATAAAGAACACAGTATGCTGACTTTTAGGAAAGCCACGAGCACTACAGACCAACCAGGAACTTGGACATGAGCTGAACATGTGCCTCTGCAAGCCGCAACTTCAGCCCGTAAGAACCTTTTGCCCTTAACTCCTTGTGAAGCCCAGGAACCAAGGGTGAGTTGTCCAGCAGCACCTCTTTTCTTCCACCAGTCTTCTGTCACTGCTGGCTTTCTGCGAGACGGGTGAGCAACTTAGCTTGGAGCAACTCCACCAGCCAGTTACGGAGGCTGCTCCAGATCAAGGACACAATCTTTCATTCGAATTAATGACTAGCTCATACTATGGCAAATGCATTTTAAGAATTATGAAATCTGTGAAGAGTATTACCTGTAGCTCCCAGGGGGTGTCCCTTTGAAATCAGTCCACCACTTGGGTTTATGACCCACTTTCCTCCATAGGTATTATCTCCTCTATCAACCAGTGCTCCACCTTGTCCTGCAAAACAAAACAAAATGAAAAAAAAAATTAGAGCAAACGATGTGACTTTAAAAACATTTCCATAGAACCAAGTGCTTCTTCTGGGACAGGCATTTATTTTTTATTATTATTTAGCAATTTATTTGAGAGGTGAAAGACAGAAAGTGCTCCTATTTGTTATTTGACAGTCAAAATATCTGTAATGACAAGGGTGGTTGGGCTGTGCCTGGACTAAAACTGGGGGCTGGAAATAAATCCATGTCTCTCATATAGGAATCAGGACCCCAATCAGCTGAACCATGACTCTGCCTCCCAGAGCCCAGATTAGCAGGAAACTGGAGCCACGATGCCAGAGCCGGGCATCAAATACTCTAATGTATATCTTAACTGCTGGGCCAAAAGCCTGCCTTGGAGCAAATATTTCTTAACAGCTCAAGCTACCAATAATTTGATATAAGCACCTCTAAATCTAAGGAGTAAATATTAAGTAATAAAGATGAATTTTTTCAGAACATTTCCTGTATGAAACATATGTTCCATTAGTTCTTAAGAGCCTTCTGGCTTCCCAAACTGCTCCAAATATAAAAGATTCAGAGAGCCAGAAGAACTGAAACAGGAGGCCAGCATTGTAGTGCAAGAAGTCGCCACTGTGATGCCAACATCCTATATGGGCACAGGTTCATGTCCCTGCTGCTCTACTTCTATACCTATAAAAATATGCTGCAGAAATAAAAGATAGTTTTTTAAAAAAAGAGAGAGAGAGATCTGAGATATCTTCCATCTACTGGTTCACTGCCCAAATGGCTGCAACAGCAAGGGCTAGACTAAGCAAAAGCCAGAAACCTGGAATACTGCCCACATCTCCCATCCAAGTGCAGGTCCCCAAGCACTTGAGTCAGCCGCCACACTTTCCCGGGGTGTTAGCAGGAGCTGAATCAGAAGTGAAACACCGGGTCCTAGCGCAGTAGCCTAGTGCTAAAGTCCTCACCTTGTATGTACTGGGATCCCACGTGGGCTCTGGTTCCTGTCCTGGCTGTTCCACTTCCCTTCCAACTCCCTGTGAGTGGCCTGGGAAAGCAGTGGAGGGAGACCCAAAGCCTTGAGAACCTGCACCCATGTGGGAGACCCAGAGGAAGTTCCTGGCTTAAGATTGGCTCAGCTCCAGCTTGGGGAGTGAACCAGTGGATGGAAGAGCTATCTTGCCTTCTCTCCGTAAACTTGACTTTCCTATATAAATAAATAAATCTTTTCAAAAAAAGGAAATGAAACATCGATTTTTTTTTAACTTTCATAGCATTCATGGCCATCATGTGCGTTTCTGAGACCAGAGGGAGGCAGCACTGGGAAGTTTTAAGGCAGTCACCATGCCACAAAACGAACACATTGAATTATACTGTAAACACTATGGGCATCGTTTGGGATTACCATGAGAAAAAAAAAGAGAAAAAGCAGTCAGGAGGATAATGAACGTTCCAAGATGCCAAAAGAGATGATTATCCGAAGGCTAAGCTCTACCACAAGCAGCGCCATGCTGAGACAATACAGAGAAAAGAGAAACAGCAAACAGGACAGTCCCAGCTAAAGTCCTTTCCAACATTCTTAAACAAAACCAAAAAATGAAAAGTCCCTCTGCCTAAAAGGTCATGCCCAGGGAGAAACAGAAGTATTAAAAGTGATTTTGAACAGGCAAAACAAAAAAGAAGGCATGGGAGAGGATGATTACCAAAGTCTGCTTTGTTGGAGATGGCTTTACAAGAAAACCACCCAAACATGAAAGCTTCATGAGACCAGTAGGCTTACGTTTCAAGAAAGCCCACGTAACACATCCAGAACTGAAAGCCACCCTGAGTCTGCCAATGCTTCGTGTAAAGAATCCACCATCCCTATTATATACAACTTTGGGTGTAATTATCAAAGGCACTGTCATTGGGGTGAATGTGAGTGAGCTGGGCCTTGTGACACAAGGAAGCAAGGTTATATGGGAGAAATATGCCCAGGTAACCAACAATCCTGAAAATGATGGGTGCATTATTGAATGAATAAAACAGTGGATTGCAAATCTGCTTCTTTCTGCCTCTTCCTCTATCCTTCCATGATTTTAATTATATATATAATATATATATATAATTGCTTCCAAATAAGTAAATGTTTACATTTCAGGTCCACTAGCATTTCTATTTGCATTTCTTCACAACCTGACACAGCTCAGGATCACCTTTCATAGTGTAGCAGTGCCATTAAGGAGGGAAGGGCAGGCAGGGAATTCTTCTGTTCAGTGGTTAAAGGGAAGCTCTCTCAGGGAAGGGAACACAGTTAATCTGCCCTCTTCAAAAGCATTACCTTCCGGACAGAGACCCAGTGCTTCGTAGGTAAGGAGTTCATTGGCAGAAAAGCAATCATGAAGCTCTATTACATCGATATCATTTGGTCTGAGGCCAGATTTCTCATAACATCTTCTGGCAGCTTCTTTACTCATGTCAAAGCCAACCTAAAATCAAAGCCATATGTGAATAAATTTATGGCCCTAATAATAAAGATTAATACATGCATAATCTTAATTCTGAGAACTGACCACAGACACTAAAAAGACTTGATGCTGTTATTACACAGAACTTTCAAATAAAATAATATTCAGAAGAAAGAATATATATACTAAAGCTTGTACTGTAAAAAACATTATTTTAAATAAGATTAAAAAGGCCCTACAAATCCTCCAATCATTTGAAAACTCCCTCTCCCAAGCCACAATGCACAGGCTGTGGTAAGTAGGCTGAAGAGATTTATCAGCAGGTCATCTTGACTCTGCTACACTGGAAAGTACTGAGGAATTACTATACAATTACTATACATAACCTTCTTGTGGAAGATCATACAGGACTCAGACCATCTTTCTAAAGTCCATGCTCTTTATACCTCTTTGGTCTCAATTAACATTAAACTCAACTTTTCTTCAAATAAAACTGACACCAACAAAAACCTACTATGACCAGAACATCCCGAGAGTAAGCTACCCCTGTCCTACAAGCTCACTTTGTGATCTTGGACAAATCAGATGCTTTAAAATTGGTTGCATTCTTGTGACTTATAAACTGTCATTTGCCACACATTTGTGTTCTGCAATTGTGTTCACACCTCTTCAAATATTCAATTAATTCTAGGTTTGAATTCTCATCCTTTTTACTTTCTTCATTTAAGAAAAGATGCTTATTATTTTTGTTTGCTGGCAAGGCAGAGAAACAAATGTTTTCTTTTTCAACTAATGGTACACTCTCACCAAATGCCAGCCAATAGCCAGGGCTGGGCAAAGCCAAAACCAGAAGCCAGGAACTGTATTTAGGTCTATAACACGTGTGACATGGATTTCAAGCTTGGATCATCATCTCCTGCCTCCTGGAACACACGAGCAGGAAGCTGGGTTGGAAATGGAAAGTCAGTACTTGAACTGGCACGCCAACCTGAGTTGCAGGTGTCCCCAGTGGCACTTAACCCACCACACCACAATGCACACGCCTACTTTCACCAATCTGCATTTGATCTTCAATCAGGATTTTTGAAGGCTTAGGGTCAAGAAAGTGCTCTGAAAACATGCTTGTTTGTCCCTTACCTCTGTAAAACCAAAGTCCTGTACAAAGCCAACCCCAAAACCTGAGGGCCACTATCATGGCAGAGCAGATAAAGCCACTGTCTGTAATGCTGGCATCCCAAACGGGCACTCATTTGTGTTCCAGCTGCTCTGCTTCCAATCCAGCTCCTTCTGAATGGCCTAGGAAAGCAAAAGGTGGCTCAAGTAGCCAGATCATTGCCATCCCTGTAGGAGAGACAAATAAAGTTCCTACATCGCGGCTTCAGCCTAAATATATAAATATAGGAAGTGATTCAGAGCATGAAAGATCTCTTTCTCTATTTCCTTTTCTCTCTCTCTCTCCCTGCAATCTTTTCAAATAAATAAATCTTAAAAACATTCTTTTAAATAGCAAGTCTAGTTAGCTGAAAGTTATTCTATTCCTGGCTCCATCATAAGACACACCTCTTCCCATCAGTTTTTCCATTAGCAAATTCTTAAGGATTAAAATTATCATTAAAATTCTAAACCAATTATTGATAAGTAATCAAGTTCCAACAGCTGTCCACACTATGTCAGTGTTGACACTGAACAGCAATCCTTCAATTTGATTAATAAAACAAAATCCCAGGAACAGATCCCCATGTCCTGGGGCTGGTGTGGTGGTTTAGCAAGCTAAGCCTCAGCGTATGGTGCCAGCATCCTATAAGGTAACTAGTAATGGTCCAAGTCCCAGCTGTTCTACTTCCAATCCAGCTTCCTGATTATGCCTAGGAAGGCAGAGGAGGATAGCTCAAGTCTTGGGCCCCTGCACCCACTTGGGAGACCTGGACGAAGCTCCTGGATCCCAGCTTCAGATTGACTCAGTTTCAGCTGCTGTGACCATTTGGGGAGTGAACCATCAAATTGAAGACTCCTCTCTATAGCTCTCCTTCTCTTTCTGTACAACCTGCTTTCAAATAAAAATACATTTAAGAAAAAAGCAGGGCCCGGCAGTATGGCCTAGCAGCTAAAGTCCTCGCCTTGAACGTGCCAGCATCCCATATGGGCGCCAGTTCTGGTCCCGGCAGTTCCACTTCCCATCCAGCTCCCTGCCTATGCTCTGGGAAAGCAGTCGAGGATGGCCCTAAGCCTTGGGACCCTGCACCCGGAAGAGGTATGGGAGACCTGGAAGAGGTTCCTGGCTTCTGGCTTCGGATCGGCACAGCACTGGCCGTTGTGGGTCACTTGGGGAGTGAATCATCAGATGGAAGATCTTCCTCTTTGTCTCTCCTCCTCTCTGTATATCTGACTTTGTAATAAAAAATAAATAAATCTTAAAACCAAAAAAAAGCTACCATGTCTCCTAGTGGAGCGGGGATTTAAGTCCCTGCTCTGCCAGGAGGTACCAGTGATGGCTCAGGTGTGTTTCTACCACCCATGTGGGAGACAGGGAGTATGTTTCCAGTTTAGGTCCTAGCCCAGTCATTGGCACTGTAGGCTTTGGGGAGCGAAGCAGTGGATGGGAGCTCTTTTGTTCTCCCTCTCTCTCTCACTCCCCCTCTTCCACCCTCCTCCCCCTCTTCTCCCTCTCCTTCTCTTTTTCCCTGTCTCCCTGTACATGTATGCATGTGTGCATGTCTATCTCTCTGCTCTCAAGTAAGTTTTAAAAATAATAATAATAAAAATCTCAGACACACCATTTTAATCATGCTATTTTCTTCAAATGAGCTTGGAAAATCAGTCACCATCTCTTGCGCCAAAATTTCCACAGCTTTGGACTGCATGCCATACTTCTTCACAAATTCTTCACTCGCCAAAACTGCTGCTGCAGCGCCATCTGAAGTAGGACTAACAAGAAGAAAAAATAACGATTTCCACATGGCATGACTTCAGTCCTAGGATTTCAGACTAGGGGCTGTTTCTATATGACAAGAAAGGCCCCGTATGCCTACCACCAACAGGCGGCCTTCCCTCTGATATACACAACTGAAAATTTCAGATGCAGGGCAGATGTGTGGCACATCGGTTAACGTACCACTCAGGATGCCGACAAACCGTATCAGAATTTCTGGTTTGAGTCCCTGCTCCACTGCCTCCAATCCAGCTTCCTGCTAAAGTGAACCCTGGGAGGCAGCAGATGATGGTTCAAATACTTGAGTCTCTTCTATTCTTAAGGGAGACCCAGACAGAGTTCTGGAATCCTGGCTTCAAACTAGTTAGCACTATCTGTTGTGAACATTTGGGGAGTGAATCAGTGGCTGGAAGATCTCTCCCTGTGTCTGTCCTGATATATGTCCTTCAAATTAAGGTGAGGAAAACAGTGATTTCATTGCACATGCTTTCCATCAGCATCCTGAACCTCTAGCAGGAACCGAAATGTCACCAGCCATTGCTGTTCTCTCAGAACCTTGTCTAAATAGTTCTCAGCACAGTAGTCCTGGAGTGCCTCCAGTTACATAAAGCACCTTATGGAGACTGAGAAGTGAGGATCGAAGGACGTCCCTCTCCTATACAGTTAAGACTCCAACAGAATTCTATGGAGCCCTAGTTTGTTATCTCCCAAATAAGTCAGTCTTGAAACAGGGTCAGGATAGACTAGGAGATACCAGCAACTCCACAAATGAGTCTAAAGCTTTTGTGATCTCCTCAAAATAGTTTTTTTTTTTCCTCTTAGATCAAATTGTGAAGGAAGATGGCAACACAAGAACACCTCTGCGAGTTCATCTGGATCCTCAGAGTACAAGTAAGTGCTGGCCAGACTTGTTTACTTGCAGCCCAGCCAGCACCTCAAGGGCACATCCGGGTCTTCACGAGGGCTAGGGACATCAGAACTCACTCTTCTACAAGACAGATACTGCCAAGATGTTTGTATGATGCAACTTTACCATCATCAGAGCTATGATTTTTTTTTTCTCCATCTGACTTTCACTCTTAGATACTATCATAGAGTAAAATCCCCTGTGTTAAATGTATGCAGCAGAGAAAATAAAGCTCAGGGCAAAAAGCTTTGGACCCTTTGGTTCTCCCAAGTTAGATACAATGAATAAACACAATCACCACAACCAAGAGTAAACAGTAGTCAGAGGAGAAGGAAGTACAAGAAGCCACGTTCCAAGAGTGGCAACAGTCTGTCTCCAAGCAGGAGCAGGAAGCAGGAGCACGTCAGAGTGACCTAGAGTGGGGACCACTCCCAGCAGCAGCTCTGAAAGAGTCTAATGTTTAACCACAGGAGAGAGGCCAACAAGGGGGGCAGTGACTTGTATCAGATGAAAAACTATGTTTTTCTTACCAGCATTGTAAGACAGTCAAAAAATCAAAGATTGGTCTAGATGACATCACTTCATCTAAACTATATTCCTTTTGGAACTGGGAATACCTAAAACAGAGAGTTATAAAATGTGAGGCAGCAATCACACTTTGTTGAAGATGTCCTAGTGTAGTTAGAGAATACTTCATAAAAATTCTTTAATATACACACACACACACACAACTTAAAGACCGGTTTCTATAAAGTACTTCAGCCTTAGTTACTTGAGTTAGGTTAAATAATCTTGACTCAGAATACATATTTGGCCTAACAGAACATATTCAACCCATATCAAAGTACCTGGGTTCAATTTCTGGCACCAGTTCCTGACTCCAGCTCCTCACTACAGAGCCTAGGAGGCAGTGGTCACAGCTCAAGTAATGCGGTTTCTATCAGCCACAGAGACACCTGTGTCCAGCTCCAGGCTTTGATTCTGGGCCACCCCGGCCCTTTCAGGCACTCAGGAAGTGAACAAATGGATGATAGTTATCACTCTCAGTCTCTTAAAACAAATAATTAAAAACAAACAAACAAAACCCAGCGCATTGCCAAGGCTGGCACCACAATGTAGTACATTAAGCCTCCACCTGCAGTGCTCACATCCCATAGACAAGACAGTTTGAGTCCCAGCTGCTCCACTTCTGAACCAGCTCCCTGATCATACACATGGTAAAGCAGAAGATGACACAGAGTCATTGGGCCCCTGCACCCACATGGGCTGCCTGAAAGCAGCTCTGGTCTCCTGGCTTCAGATCAACCCAGCTCTAGCCATTGCAGCCATCTGGGGAATGAATAGCAGATGGAAGATTCTCTCTCTGTATCTCTTCTCTGTGTAAATCTACTTTTCTCATAAAAATAAGTAAATCTTTTTTAGATTCACTTTATTTTTGTTGGAAAGTCAGATATACAGAAAGGAGGAGAGATAGATAGAGAGGAAGATCTTACATCCATTGATTCACTCCCCAAGCGGCTGCAACAGCTGGAGCTGAGCCAATCCAAAGCCAGGAGCCTTGAGCCTCTTCTGTGTCTCCCATGTGGGTGCAGGATCCCAAGGTTTTGGGCCATCCTCAACTGCTTTCCCAAGCCTCAGGCAGGGAGTTGGATGGGAAACGAGGCCACCGGGTTACAAACTGGTATCCATATGGGATCCCAGCATGTGCAATGCGAGGACTTTAGTCACCAGGCTATTGAACAAGGCCCAAAAATAAATAACTCTTTAAAATATCCATTTGTTATCAGTAAAAGGAAAAATTTATTTAGCTTATCTAACAATAAAGTCAAATGCTTCAGAAGCTGCTCTGAGAAGAAAAGCAGAAAAGTCATCACGGCAAGTCTATAAAAGTAAACTTTACCTGGTGAGTAAATTAACAAGTAATTAATATTCTTAGAGCACAAAATATGTAAAATATAGATCTACAGATCAATAGCCACATCTTCTCTTCTAAAGTAAACTATGACCATTGGCAGTTTTCAAACAACACCTCATTTAGGCCACATTCTGTGCGGGCTTCAGGTACTCCCTTTAGTACAATTAGTATAATTCCTTGGCAAAGAAATATACTATTTGAATATGTGCAATACCATATATGTGCAAAGTGTTATATTAGAAATGTTACCCAGCATCAAATCCAGATACCATCAGGGGCTTTCCCTATGGAATTAAGAAGCCACTTAGGACACCTGCACCCCATATTGGGAGTGCCAGGGAACAAGTCCCAGCTCTGCCTCTGACACCTCCTTCCCTGTCACCCTTTGTGGAAGACCCGGATGGAGTTCCTCGCTCCTGGGTTCAGCTGGCCCAGCCCCAACTGTTGCATTTGGGAAGCGAATCAGCAAATGGAAGAACTTCCTCTGTCTGCCTTCATATTTTTCAAATAAAACAATTTTTATTTGTTGTTTTTAAAAAATTACTTGTCTTCACTTAAAAGACAGATTTACAGACAGATAAGGAGAGACAAGAAAGAGAGAAATCTTTCATCCACTGATTCATTCCCCAAACGGCCACAGCAGGTGGAGTTGGGCAAGTCTGAAGCCAGGAGCTGCCGGGTCTCCCATGTGTGCGCAGAGGCCCGAGCACAGGAGCTATGTTTTGCTGCTGTTCCAGTCACTTTTGCAGGGAACTGGATTGGAGGTGGAGCAGCTACCATATGGAATGCCAGCACCACTGGCAGAAGCTTAACAGTGTTATGCCACTCTGTTGGCCCTAAATAAAACATTTTCAAAAAGAAACATAATCCTTAGAAAACAAAAATAGAAAAAAAACTCTATCTTAAAGGTTCCCTAAAAAATGTATATTAAGTGAAAATATACATAAAAAGCCTAACACAGAGACACATACTTGGAATTTGATAAAACTAGACGCTATTACTTCATTGCCTGGTTCCAGTTACATGGCATGAACTCAGCTCTCAATGGATGGATTTTATTGTTCCAACTTTTGGTATGTGTGCTGCTGAAGCAAGCATAATAGATGCATTTTATGCAGCAAGCATTAAACACATTCTAGAGTTGGGCATTACTTTAAGCACTGGGGATTCAAAGATTATGCATCTATAATGTGTTTAATGTGGTTTTCTTCAGATTTTTTATTTAAAAAAAAAACTGAGGCCCACAGAAAGAAAGGTAGATTAAAAAGCATGAATAGGTTTGGATTTTTCTTTGGAAAATAGAGAAAGATAAAGCTTCCACTCACTAATTCACTTTTCAAATACCCACAACAGCCAGGGTGAAGTCAGCCCAAAGCTCAAAGCCAGGAATTCCCACATAGTGGCAGGGACCCAAGTGTGGGAGCCATCCATTGCTATGAATATATTTTTTAAAGATTTATTTATTTTTATTGGGATGGCAGATATACAGAGAGAAAGATTTTCCATCTGCTGGTTCACTCCCCAACCAGCCACAACAGCCAGAGCTGAGGTGATCCAAAGCCAGGAGCCAGGAACTTCCTCTAGGTTTCCCTCAGGGGTACAGGGTTCCAAAGTTTTGTGCCATCCTCTATTGCTATCCCAGGCCACAAGCAAGGAGCTAGATGGGAAGCGGAGAGGCTGGGACACGAATCATAACCCATATGGGATCCTAGCACATACAAGACAAGGACTTTAGCCACTATCATGCTGCTCTCTACAAGCAACATTTAAACCATTATACCAAATGCCTATCCAAAATTATTTTTCAGAATATAAATAACCATGTTGTTCTATCAGAGTAATAGTTAATGACACTAAAGTAATTAAGATATATCCCAGTTACTAACATGCAAGTTTTAATTGATCACAACAAAATGAGGTAAGTTATGAAGAATTATTTAAAATGTTAACTGTTACTACAAACTAAACTTAGCACAATACGGAGCTGCTATGGTAGGGCAGAGGTAGACAAAGCCCATGCCTATGACACCGGCATCTCATGCAAGTGCTGGATCATGCTCTCCCTGTTCCACTTCTGATCCAGCTCCGTCAATAGTCTTGGCACGATAGTGTAGTGGTTAAAGTCTTCGTCTTGCACGTGCCAGGATCCCATGTGGTTGCTGGTTTGTGTCTCGGTGGCCCTGCTTCTCATCATCCAGCTCTCTGCTTGTGGCCTGGGAAAGCAGTGAAGGATGGCCCAAGGCCTTGGGACCCTGCACGCACTTGGGAGACCTGGAAGAAGCTCCTGGATCCTGGCTCCTGGCTTCAGATTGGCTCAGCTCCAGTCATTATGGCCACCTGGGGAGTGAACCATCAGATGGAAGATCTTCCTCTCTGTATATCTGACTTTATAGTAAAAAAAAATATATATCTTTCAAAAATGTGTGTAAGAACGGCTCAAGTATTTGTGCTCATGCCACCCACATGGGCAATCTAGGGAAGCTCTATTGGGAGTAAATCAGTGGACAGAAGAATATTTTTCTGTCTCTCCCTCTGAGTTTTTTTTTCTGTTTTGTTTTTTCTTTTCTTTTTTTATGATACAGTTCCATAGGCTCAGGGATTTCCCCTTCCATTCTCCCCATACCCCTCCTCCCCAGTTTTCCCCTATGACAATGCTATAGTCCTTCAACAACAGTCACAAGTCCATCATTCTACTCTTCGGGTGTATCATCGCATTGTAGGTATAGACAATGGTAGACAGGACAGCATCATATTGTCGAGAGTTTCGTTGGTAGCCCGTCTTATATTCAGAAGTAGACATGCATACTACAATGTATCTTCACTTTGCGATAAGCTTGTCTCCATTATACAGTTCCTCTAGATGAATGTATGTACATGCATGTTTATCTATATATCCATTGATCTTGTATTTTGCATGAAGGTTGCCTTATGTCAGAGAGAACATATGATATTTGTTCTTTTGGGACTGACAGTTAAATACTTCTGTATTTTCTCATGTATAGATATTACAGTGAAGACCGCAATATTGATTTTATAATTAAATTCACTGAGCATTATGGTCTCCAGTTGGGACCATTTTGTTGTAAATGGTAGAATATTGTTCTTTTTAATGGCTGAATAGTATTCCATGGAGTAGATGCACCATAATCTCTTTACCCATTCCTCTCTCGATGGACATCTAGATTGTTTCCATGTCTTCACTATTATGGATTGTACTGCTGTAAATACAGGATTACAAGTCATTTTCTCTTGTGCAGCCTTAATTTCCTTCAGATGTATGCGTAAAAGTGAGATAGCTGGGTCATACAGATCAATTTTCAGTTGTCTGACAACTCTCCACATTGACTTCCACAGTGGTTGTACTAGCCTACACTGCCACAGACAGTGAAGTACCTTTCTCCACATCCTTGTCAACAGGTATTGTTAGTAGAGTTCTGAATTAACGCCGGTCTCACTGGAGGTGGGTGGAACCTCAATGTGATTTTTATTTGGTCCAGAATGACCTATCTGACGTATCGTTGGATTATTTTGGCTCGTATTTTGCTAAAGATTTTTGTGTCTGTGTTCATTAGGCATATGGGTCTGTAGCTCTTTTTCTACTGTGTCTCTCTCTGACTTTGGCATTAAGATGATGATGGCTTCATAGAAAGGATTTGGAAGGATTGCTTCTCTTTTTATTGTTTTTAATAGCTTGCATAAGATTGGAGTAAGCTCTTCTTGAAACCTTTGGTAGAAGTTAGCAGTGAAGCCATTTGGTCCCGGGTTTTCTTTGTTGGGACGAATATATGATTCCTGATTCAATCTCTGTCCTGGTTATAGGTTTGTTTAGATTATTAACTTTCATGATTCAATTTTGGTACACTGTATGTGTCCAAAAATCTATTTCTTCTAGGTCTTCTGAATTGCTGGTATATAGTTGCTTCTAACAGTTCCTGATTATTCTGTGCCTGAAGTATCCATTGTTATATGCCCTTTACTGCCTCTGTTCTATTGATTCATATATTTTCTCTCCTTTTTAGTTAGTTGGGCTAATGGGGAATCTATTCTGTTCCTTTTCTCAAGGAACCAGCTCTTTGATTAATTGATCTTATGATCTTGTTCCCTATTTGGTTTATTTTTTTTTACCTTATCTTGATTACTTATTTTTTCCTGTTAATCTTGGTATTTTTTTCTACTGCTTTTCTAGCTCTTTCACGTGTATTGTTAGCCCATTTTCTTTGTGCTTTTCTACGTTCCTGACATAAACGTTGATTTAAATTATCCTCTTAACTGCCATGATTGTGCCCCGCAAGTCTTGATACATTGTGCTGATGCCTGCATTCATTTCAAGCAATTTTTAAAATTTCCTCTTTGATTTCTCTATAACCCATTGTTCATTTAGCAGCGTGTTGTTCAGTCTCCAAGTACCTGCACATCTTCTAGGGTATTTTGACTTGTTGCTCTCCAGTTCTACTCCATGACAGTCTGAGAAGATGCTGAGCTGACATTTTTTCCTCTTTAGGATCTGGAAGATGTCACTCCATTGTCTTCTGGCCTGCAGAATTTCCTCTGAGAGGTCAGCTGTGAGCCTGATTGGGTTTCCTCTGTAAGTTAATTTTTTCACATGCATATTTAAGTATCTTTTCCTTATGGTCGACTGAAGAGAACTTGATTATGATGTATCATGATGAGGATCACTTTTGCTCAACCATATTTGGATTTCTGTGCTCCTCCTATATTTTGTTTCCAAATTCTTTCTCTATATTAGGGATGTTTTCAATTATTCTTTCACTGAATACATCTTGGAACCCAGCTTTTCTTTCCATATCTTTAGGCACTCTTATAACTAATATTCAGCCTTTTAATGGTGTCCCTAAACTCTTGGATGCTTCTCTTAGCTCGACTCAGTTTCTCTTCCAGCTTTTTTACTATTTCAGAGTTATTACAGAAGGTATCATTCAATTCTGAGGTTCTTCTGTCTCACTCATTCTATTACTGAAGCTTTACACTGAATCATTTCATTTCTAATAATTCAGCCTGATTTTGTTTCAGTGTTGCTATTTCCTGGGTAACATAGTTCTCAAACTCCTATATGTGCTTCTGCTTGTTTTGTTTTGTTTAGGATTTATTTTTATTTTTATTAGAAAGTCAGATGTACAGAGAGAAGGAGAGAGCAAGATCTTCCATCTGTTGATTCACTCCCCAAGTGGCCACAATGGCTGAAGTTGTGCCAATCCAAAACCAGGAGCCTCTTCTGGGTTTGCCATGAGGGTGCAGGGTCCCAAAGCTTTGGGCCGTCCTCGACTGTCTTTCCAGGCCACAAGCAGGGAGCTGGATGGGAAGTGGAGCTGCCAGGATTAAAATCAGCAACCATATGGGATCCCAGTGCTTGCAAGGTGAGGCTCTTTAGGCTCTAGGCTACCATGCCGGGCCCATTTCTCCTTCTTTTTAAGAAGCTTTATAACAATTTTTTAAAAGTCTTTATCCAGCAGTTCTTCTATGTCTTCCTTAGTTAACTCTGAGGTTGATTTAGAATTTGCTCCTTTGCAGGGGAGGTGTAAGTTACCTTACTCATTTTCTTATGTCTCTTCTTTTGTCTTTGGTCATTACAATTAGCAGATTCTTCTCCTTGTTTGGGTTTTTTTTTTTTAAGATTTATTTTATTTTTATTGGAAAGGCTGATCTACAGAGAGGAGAGACAAAGAGGAAGATCTTCTGTCCAGTGATTCACTCCCCAAGTGAGCGCAACGGCTGATGCTATGCCGATCCAAAGCCAGGAGCCTCTTCCAGGTCTCCCACGCGGGTGCAGGGTCCCAAAGCTTTGGGCTGTCCTCGACTGCTTTCCTGGGCCACAGGCAGGGAGTTGGATGGGAAGCGGGGTCGCCGGGATTAGAACCGGTGCCCATATGGGATCCCGGGCATGCAAGGTGAGGATTTAAACCACTGCGCCACTGTGCCGGGCCCTTCTCCTTGGTTTTTAAGCTGAGTGGTCCACATGTCTACAGGTTGACTTTACTGATCCTGTTCAATGCACCACTCTTCATTTTCTGTCATTCATGTCACTCCCTCCAGTGAGTTTCAGTCCCAGGTTCCCATACTATGCTTCCACCATGGTTTCCACAGCCCTAACTCTTGGCTCACCGCTCTCCAACCCCTGTGATCCCATGGTGTGGCTACACCATTTGCCTGCTCAGCCTTTCTCCCACCTCTGGTTCTATCAGGCAATGGAATTACAGAGACACCGGCTGTAACTTGAGTCTAGATCACATGGTTATCAGTGGTACCCATTGCACAGATTTTCTTTCTTTTTTTTTTTCCTCTTCTTGCTGGACCTGCTAGCAATTAGTCTGGGTGCAACCTGGATCTATTTTAGTTGCAATCATGAGATGCCAAGTCACTGTTTTCCTGGTGGGATCAGTGTAATGTATTCGGCCTGAAGTGAGTTCTCCCCTGGTTTACCTCATGCGCACCTTGCTATTGTCTCTCTTCCCAGAGCCTTTGTAAAATAGCACCCAATGAAGCACTGGTGGGAATATGGGTCACAAAATTCAAGCTGTTCCCACTCCCAACTGCCTGGGCTCTGCCTCTCTGTTTCTGCTCATGGAAGGATCAAACAAACCAGCAGGACCTACAGTTCTATGGCTGGGCTCACCTTCCGAGTTCCCAGTGAACTTCCCTTCTCACCTGACTGCCAGTGGAGTTCCCTGATTTTCAAATAAATAAGTAAAATTTTTAAATTATCACAATAAATTCACTACAGCTGAAAAGCAGGATCAATCATATCTTTTAGTATTAGTCATTCACATTCTTATATAAGTCATTAAGCCTAAATGATATTTTAAATATAAAGAAGCCAAAATCTAAAACTCAGAGTAGTCAAAAGTTTACTTGAGCACAAGTCTTTTATAAGAAAAAAAAATAGTATCTTCAAGGTCTTGCACTTCCAAGTGTACAATATGCAATTACACAGTGACACAGATGTTAATTATCTCATGACTGAAATACTTACGGGTTATTAACTGAATGCTTATGATTTTTCCACCCAATTTTTGCAAAGTGTTCGACTTTTGTTCCTATAGAGAAAGAAAACGTCCCTTAGTATGTCAATGTTCTGGCTTTTTGTTAGCAAATGGTAACAATGGTAATGTCATTCTTTCCTTTCTGATTACTCTATTCTGGCTATCAATCCTTGCAATTTTTTTTTCCTACAAAGAATAAGAATGCTGAATTTTCAAAAGTAATTATCTTTCTAATTTCGTAGTACATGAAGCATATGCTCAGAATCACACAACAGGAGGAAAATCCAACTAAGACAGGTCGGTCAAAGAACTGGGCATCAAAGAACTGGGGTGGACAAAACAAAAACCAGACATGAAATGTTAACCTCATAAAACACCACCGAATGAAAGACGATGATAGATTCCTGATGGATTCAAACACTATGAATCAGCTCTGGCAAGATTCCTGTCTTCTGACAGTATTGAGAACCAATCAGCCTTAATTTATGGGCCACAATTAATAGTGTTAGCTGCCCTTTTTCAGTTTCTTGATGCCATACTCTAGTTACTGAATGTCCTATATATAAATATTTTCTTTACACTGAAATTCTACAGGGACTACTTCTACGTGATTTAGGAACCATTTTATGTTTTATATATCCTGGTGTCTCCCAGCTTCTTAATAAACATCTGTTGCTTCTCATCATATGTACATAACCAGTCTTGAATCCTCGGGTTCTTTTGAACATACCATATTTTTCCATATGTTCTTTTCCAGCAGACCCAAACATCTGAGGAGCAACTGGATGGGCAGACAACCCGTACTTATTGATCAAGACTTCAAGATGCTTATCCATCGGATTGGTCCGATCTGAAAACTAAGAGAAAGGGGAAAAAACAAAATTTAACAAGTAGCTGTTGAGACCAGCACTGTGGTGCAGCCACTTCCTGAGCACTGGCATCCTGTATGGGAGACAGTTTCAGTCCTGGCTGTTGTACTTCTGATCCAGCTCTCTGCCAATGCACCTGGGAAAGCAGTGGAAGATAGCCTAAGTCCCTGGACCCCTGCTCGCATGAGGGAGACCCAGAAGAAACTCCTGGCTTTGGCCTGGCCCAGGCCCAGAAACTGTGGCCTGAATGAAGGTCCAGCTTACACACTCAGCTTCTCTCCTTTGCCAGTTCTCCCAGGGTTTGGAACTCCACTCTAACATTTTTTTAATCAGTGGAGGGATTGGCTACAAGAACCTGGATAAGCCTTTATCCAAAACCCAAAGTCTCACACTTTGATTTTCTACAAATTTGATGCATAAATGAACCTCAAATTGAGTCACCTGACTTCTCTAAATACTGGTTTCAACGATCAGTAAAATAAAAAGTTTGAACTAAATCACCTCTAAGATTTTTTTAAGGTTCTAAAACCCAAAGATCTATGTGTATACACACGTTTCTAGATTATACTAATTTAATAACTGCAGAACGGTGTTTTACATTGCTTATTCACGGGCCCCAATCACCACAGATGGGCCATCTCTTCCCATAGCACTACCACAGCACCAAGTAACAGTGAACAAGACTCACTTTTCCTTTAAGAGATCCCTTCTCCATCTTCTCAAACCCAAGAGCCAAAACGCAGTCTGCCATACCTTAAAGAAAAATGTAATTATTTTTAGATTCAGATTTTCACTCAACAAAAGACTATTAAATACCACAAGTGTGCCAATTTATATCGTAATATGCAAAAATGTATTATAATCCTACAAAATTGTATAATAAATTAAAAAAATTACTAAGAAAATTCTTACATGCTCCTATATAGGATTAAAAAATCAAGACGGTACTTACCTCCTCCCTTGAGTCTCAATGTCCGAATAAAATTTCTGACTACCATGGAAATGTGCAGAAACCACACCTGACATCTAAAACATTTTAGAGGAAGGATATCGTATGGTTTCAGTGTAGCCCCAATAGCTTCAGGGATTGGGAACTTGGTCCTCAATGGGGCAACACAGGGAAGTGGGAGAACCTTGAAAACTTGGTCCTGGGGATACATTTAGCACCGTGGTTAAGATGCCACATAGGACGCCCATATCCTACAATGGAGTGCTGGATTCACATCTCAGCTCTGCTTACAATCACAGGTTTTTGCTGATGAGTTCCCTTAAGGCAGCAGGTTGTGGATGACGTAAGTGCCTGGGTCCCTGGGTCACATGGTAGACCCTGACTGAATTCTAGGCCCTTGGCTTCAGCTGGCCTAGCCTCAGCTATGGCATGTATTTGGGAAGTAAAGCAGCAGGTGGAAGGTAGGCCTCCATCTCTTCTCTGACTCTATCTCTTAAATAAATTTTTTTTAATTTAAGATAAAGTGTTTAAACTTACAGCCTAATGGGGGGCCCACTCGTAAGTCACTAGAGACAGACCTCAAAATGAGTATAGTTCTTGTGGGACTCTGACTGGTTCCCACTTTATAACAAGGTGTTGCTATAAAGAGGTGGTCTAGTCCCTGAAATATCCCTTGACAAACAAAAATTGCAGTACTTGTTATACAGAAATTGTACAGCTGTAATGCAGAATAACACATTATTTTTTCCCAGGAATATGCCTTAGTCTAGCATACAGCACAGGCAAAACAGTAAATCCAAGATCAATATCTTAGACAGTTTTAACACTATGCATCATAATTCCTGGAGAAACTTCTAGATTATGGAATACTTCAGATTTTGGATTATTCTAGATTTTTGAATTGTTGACTAAGAGATACTCTGCCCCTATAAAGCCCTAATAATAAATCATATGATTAAACTTATAGAAATGCTCAAAATAGGCAAATCCAAAGAGACAGAAAGTAGATGGGGAGTAGCTGCTAACAGAGGTTTCTCTCTGGGGTGAGAAAATGTTTAAACTTACATAATAGAAACAGTCACACAACAATGAATATACTAAAAAAAACACTGAACTCTATCACTTTAAAGGGTGGTTTTATAATGTGAGTGACACATAAATATTTTTTATTCCCAAGAAATAATCTCTGAACATCTGGAGAAACAATTTGCATTCACTTCAGTATGCTGCACAAGTACTCACCTCCCTGAATCAGCTGCCGAGCCATAAACAACGCAGTAGAACCAGTTGAACAGTTATTGTTGACATTAGTTATAGGAATTCCAGTCAGTCCCAAGCTGTGATAGACAGCTCTTTGCCCACTAGTAGAATCGCCTACATTGGAAAACAAACAAAAACTGCAGTACCTGCAGCACAGGGATTATGGAGCTGCAACGCAGAATACTACTTTAATTTTCTTCCCAGTATTATGCTTTTGCTTGCATACAGCAGGGGCAGAACAGTAAACTATCAACATCTTACTAAGATAGTTTAGCACTATGCAGCATTACTGTGCAAATATTTATTCTCCAAATAAATATTGTGGGGCTTTTTAACAAAATATAGAAGCAATAAACTAGAGAAATGATCAAATATTACAAAACAATTCACTCTGGAAAGGCCTAAATAACACAAGAATTAATACTTCATTTACAACTGCTGGGAAGGTATGTGACATAGTGCATAAAGCCATTCGCTTTCTTTGACACCAGCATCCCATATGGGTGCTGGTTCCTGTCCCATACGCCCCCCCCTTCTGACCCAGCTCCCTGCTAATAGCCTGGGAAAAGCAGAAAGATGGCCCACATGTTTGGGTTTCTACCACCCACATGGCTGGCTCAGCCCTGACAACTGGAATAATCTAGAGAATGGATCAGCAGATAGGAGAGATCTCTCTCCCTCTCTTTCTCTCTCTCTGTCACTTGCCAAGTGAAAAAAGTGTAATCCTTGTATAATATGCACATGGCTTCTCAACCCAAGCAATGTAACCAGGGGCAGACCTGCCAGAGCATAGTGACAGGGACATCTGTCCCCAGCACAAACCAGGAGGTACAAGATTTCCTTTTCAATATATACATCCTGCATGTGTTCAGTAACCTTCACTACTAGAATTCTCTTTACATCTCAAAGGAAGTTAACTCTGCATATACACAAAGCTTCATCACAGTAATACTAGAATAGCATATAATAGTATTTTTACAGTAAGCAGAAATTAGAAGCAAAATGACTAAAGTAGAATAAGAGGACCACAACTAAGCAAACAGTAGTAGATTCCCAAGACCAGAGAAGCATATGGGCACTAAGCATGCTGTTGTGGGCTGGGAGAAAGCAGATGATGTCAGCCAAAGCGTACACAGCTTCAGCCACAAGATAAAGTTTTGGGATTGTAATGGACAGCATGGCTGCTGGTGGATAAGCACTTGGTTGTGGTAATCATTATACAATGCACATGTACATCAAATCACATTTTATACTTTGAATATACTTTTTATTGGAATAAAATATTTTTAGAAGTTGCAAAAAAAAAAAAAAGAAGACTGGGAACATCCCATATAACCATTAACAGACTGAAAGTATTACGATACATTTAATCAGTGGAATATAATGCCCTATTAAAAGAGAGAGAGAGAGAGAACAAAAATAACATATAGATTACCACGTACCATAAACGTAGCCAATACATGCTTGTTCCACTGCTGAGTAAGGGATCTGCGCATCAGCTAAAGCCTTCTCACCTGTGAAACAAAAAGCTTTTAGCAGAAAGCACAGTGTTTGCTTCAGATAATTAAAAATTAAGTAGAGAATTTTCTCAGAGTAAAACCACCTCAACGGAGTCTGTTTTCAATTCTTCATGAAAGCATCCCAGACCTCTACTTTGAAGCCACGATTTCTCCTCTTAGCTACTGAGCCATTCTTTCATATCTTTCTTTTGTCACTTCGACACAATGAGATAGAATGCCACTGCTAGGAAGGGAGGGTGCTATGTAGTGATTGCTCATCTTGCAAATCCAGCATTGAGAAACAACCCTGTCTACACGGGCATTGTGGTACAGGTTAAAAGGTTGCTTGAGGGCCCAGTGCGGTAGTCTATGGCTAAAAGTCCTCACCTCATACATGTCAGAATCCCGTATGGGTGCCAGTTCTCGGTAGCCCTGCTTCCCATCCAGCTCCCTACCTGTGGCCTGGGAAAGCAGTCAAAGACGTCCCAAAGCTTTGGGACGCTGCACCTGCATGGGAGACCCGGAAGAGGCTCCTGGCTCCTGGCTTCAGATCAGCTCTGCTCTGGCCATTGCAGCCGCTTGAGGAGTGAATCAGCAGATGGAAGATCTTCCTGTCTCTCTTCCTCTCTGTATATTTGACTTCCCAATATAAATAAATAAATCTTTTAAAAAAAAAAAAAAAAGGCCTGCTTGGGACAACACCTGCAACTCCTAACAGAATGTCCACCTACAATGCCAGCTTCCTGCTAATGCAAAGGGTCCCTGTCTATGTTTTGGGATGTCTGGCAAATTTGGCAAATGAATCAGGAATTGGATAATCCCCCCCCCACCTCTCTCTATTTCTTTCTCTTGTTCTCACAATTTGTTTTTATTGGAAAGGCAGATCAGATTTACAAAGAGAAGGAGAGACAGAAAGATCTTCCATTCACTGCTTCACTCCCTAAGTGGCTGCAATGGCCAGAGCTGAGCCGATCTGAAGCCAGGAACCAGGAGCTTCTTCCAGGTTTCCCATGCAGGTGCAGGGTCATAAGGGCCATCCTCTATTGCCTTTAAAGGTCACAAGCAGGGAGCTGGAAGTGGAGTAGCCGGAACATGAACTGGCACCCATATGAGATCATGGCACTTGCAAGGCAAGGATTTAGCCACTAGTCCATTGCACTGGGTCAAAAAATAAATCAATCAAGAAGAGGAAAGAAGAAGAGGGAAGAAAGAGAAGGCAGCAGCCAGATGCCTCTTCAGAGAACGGGGCCCACCCACCTTATGGATCCTTCTCTCCCTGAGTTGCAATGTTCGCCCAAGTCCTTTGCCTATCAGTACTAACATTTACTATGTTAAACAAGAACTGCCATCACCTCCTTTACTCACGTGGTAGCCTAGTGAGGAGAAATATTCCATGCTGGCTCAATGAAGCAAGAGGAAAACCATCACACACATGTTTAATATACACTCTGAATGCGATCACCTCTTTTCCAGGAAGACACCAACTTTGTTTTGACTCCAGAAGTGAACACACACCAGAATCAAGTTCTAATGACCCTACCTTTCCTATAGCTCCCTTTACTATCACCATAAACTGCTGGCTAGCACATCAGATCCTCAGCTATTGTCTGCTCTGGCCGGGGAACTGCTACAGATGCCTGTGCTCCTTCCCCTTTCTCGGGACCCACTCAGCAATTCACCCAACAGGTTCTTCTCCCTGGACAGGGCTCCACTCTGGGCTCCCAAGGCTGCTCCAGCTATGGTCCACACAATAAACTACGATGTGCAGAGATCCAAGCGAGCTCGATTACCTGCTTCTTTTGCCAGGTCAGGGTAGTCTTTAGCATCGTCAGTCCCAGGCTTCTCAAACTAGTAAGAGATAACAACAGAAACAACCAAGTTCAATTTTTTTCATTATAGTTCATCACAGAAATCAATCTATAACACTCACCAGCTCACATTAGTATCAGAACTGGGTGCAGGCTGGGCAGAGCCAGGTTGCAGAACCCACTGGCAAATATCAAGGCAAGATGGGCCATACCAGATTGGGGCCGCAATACCCACTGGCACACACAAGACTCCAAACCAGGAGTGAGTCTGTTGAGTGGCCTGCAGGGGTGCCCCCTGATAAGCCACTGGTCCCACTTGGGAGTGTGAGTGCTTGGATTGTGGGTGGACCGGCCCAGGCAAGGTTAGAACAACCATTAACCTGCGTGCAAGCTGGGTTTGCAGGAGTGCCAAGTTAGGCCAGGCCACTACACCTGCTGGCACATGCAAGAGACAGGATAAATGCTGACTAGCTGGACTTTGCCACAGCATCCACTGGCAAGCACCAGGACAGGGTGCAAATCATGTCAGACTGGACTACATTATCCACTAGCCCCAAGATCTGGGACTACAACTAAGCCTAGCAGGGAAACTGTGGGCACTTCTCTGTTGAACTGCAGCTCCTACTGGTGGGTACAAGAGCTAGGGCTGAGGGCACTAGGTTGAACACGGCAGCAGCATCTGTTGGCATATGTGTAGACTGAGTGATGGGATAGGTAGGCTAAACTAAGCTGCAACACCCATAGGTATATACAGGCGCCCAATTGGGATGCAGCACAAACTGAACAAGTCTGTTGTATATATGGGTACATGCAGGGATCAGGGGCAGGCTTTGTGATGTTATTGGGGGGGGGGGAGGTCAACCCAATTAGGTTGCAGTTCATGCCAGTGTGTGAAGGCCAGGTCTATGGTAGGCTGGGTTGGGCTGGGCCAAAGCACCTGTCAGTTTGCATAAAGATATGGAACTAGGGATGGAACTGACCAGGCAACTACAATCAGCAGTGTATACGTAGGTTGATGCAGGTAACAGACTGAACTGGACCCTGGACTGGCTTGCACATGCAAGAGTCAGGTCTGCGGTCATGCTAGGCAAGGTTTCTCATCCTAAACCAGATTACTGGACTCAAAATTCTGGCCACAGGGAGGATCATAGGATTGGTCCAATCTTGTATGTGTTGGGACTGGGTTTCCTCAATTACTGATGCCTGTCCAGTAGACAGCATGCCCAGGTGCAAATGAGGGACAAGTTGGCCAGCTCATTTCGGCCTGTTGAGGGTGGTAAGTGCCATGCCAGAAGATATGCAAAATCCAGTTACAAAACAGAATCACTTCGGTTCAGGCCTGCATAAGTTTACTAACCTGCTCTTTAGGCTTCTGTACAAAATGCTTTACTTTGCCTCTTTCCTGCTTTTTGAGCCAGATCACAAGGAGTAACTTGCCCTGCCAGCAACCCTCAGTTCCAGTCATCAATATTGTATGATTTATTCACTCATTGTTCCTATGACTATCTCCAGTGGCTGCTTGAGCCTACCCCCTGTCCCCTTGGCAGCCTCCTGAGGTTGCTGTAGCCCACTTATTGTTCCCATGGCGGCCTCCTGTGGCTGTCCAACTCACCTGGTTCCCATGGCTGTATAACTCACTCTTTCTATAAAAACCATCTAACTCTCACCTCAGAGTCACTCTCTGAAGGAAAGAAGAGCTGACCCCAGCCAGTTGGTTTACCTGCCTCCTCAATAAACTTTGCTGCTTAACAGAATTGTCTGGGCTGGACTTCTTGGGAAGAGGTTTGGGTTGGATGCAACAGACAGAACACAGAACAAGTTGGAAAACTGTTCTGGCTGAGTTTTGGCAGCAAGTGTCTGGGTGAATGGAGACTTTAAGGTGGACTCTGTCAGGCAATGGACCTTTGAAGGATTTTCTCATCTTTGGAGCAACAAAATCAACAGCATCTCAAAATGATCAAAGCTACTCATGCAATACCTTCAGAACTTTCTTCTCTACATTGGGGTTTCTAAGATAACATCTAAGATGGTATCCTGCTAGATATCAGAGAAAATGGAATAAGAGGAAAATTGGAAGCATTGTCGCACGTACCTTCCCTCATGCCTTGATCATCTCCACTCTAATCATCTCCACTCCGGTCCTCATAGGCATGCATCCTCATCAACATCAAACATTAATCTAAAAAAAATCCATCCATCTATCTGCTATGGTCCATGACTCCAACAATAAAGAATGTGTTCCTACCTCCAGTGAGCCTTCAGTCTAGGTAAAACAGGCATTTATACCAGAGTGTTATCTACCAAGACTAGATGAGGGAGGAAGCTTCCAAAAGAAATCACCATTCAAATTAAGTCCTTCAGGTGTGAGCTAAGTGGAACAAAGTCTAGGCCAAAATCTGGATGGGAGACAACGTGCTCTGGGGAAGAGCTGCAAATAACTAGGCATGACAGGTTCCGCTCAAGTGCACACTAGAAAGTAAGAGATAGAAAAGTAACTTAAGGATCCCAGGCAGGGTACAAGGGGAGGGAGAGCACACAGACAGGTCTAGGGAGCCATCCATGAACATGGGGCCCTAGTGGGCGGGCCTAGCTCAAGGCCAGCACACCACCCCATGGGAAATCTGGGCTTGAGAAGACCAGGCTGGAAAACCCATGTGCTCAGAGGCACAGAGACTGTGGATTGCTCAGGGAGTGGGTTATGGGGATGTGCAGGAGGGAGGATCACTGAGGGAGTATGTTGCAGGTGATGAACAACTTCTGGGAGACTTCTACCAACAAGGCCACTGCATTTGTAGGTAAATAAGGGGGCTGAGACCAAGTACTTTCAACAAAAGAAGCTGGAGGACCTTTCTGCATCAGACAAATATACACACCAAAGACCTGGGCTAGTTAGCATCAACCAGCACTGACCATGTCCACCAATACATACTAAAGCTAGGGCTGGGGCCGATCTGGCAGGGCTAGATCACATTACCCACCAGGGAGTGTCGGAACAGAGGAAGGTAACATCAGGCTGGGTCATGACACTAAGCAGCACTTGAGAGAACTATGTCTAGGGACAGAAACTGTGGGGATATATGGGTGCATCTCCATGGGACTGCCATGCCAACAACTTTGCTAGAGAGCTGGGGGAGTGATGGGCTGAGCTAGGCATGACCATGGACTCTCAAGACACTCATGGGTCCTGGGGTTGGGAACAGGCTGGGCTGGTACAAGCTGTAGCACCCACAGGCGCATCCAACAATAGAATGTGAGGCAGGGCTGGCCTGGCAGCAACATCCACCAGTACACACAAGGCTAAGACAGAGTGTGCAGACTGTCAGGTAAGGGCCTAACATTCACTGGCACATATGAGATCTGGGTCTGAGAGTGCACCTGGTGGGAGAACTTGGGGAACTCCCCTGGTGGGCCATTGCTCCCACTGGAGAGCATGTGATTCAAGCCTGGGTGTTGGTCAGGCCAAGCAAGGCTGCTCCCTTGTCAGCAAGTTTGTGGGTTGGTTCTGGAAGGGGCAGACATGGCAGGTCTAGGCCAAGCCGTAGCACACTGGCGTGTGCAGGAATCAAAATACAGTGGGGCCATGTTGGGCTGCTATGACACCTACCAGTTTGCATAAAAGCCAGGGGTGGGGGCAAGACAGGCAGGGTTGAGCTAAAGGACCCACCAGTGAGAGTTGGGACTAGGAGTGGGACACGACACAACAGGCTGCAGCAACTGATGGCAAAGGCCAAGACAGAGAATGGACTATGTCAGGCTGGGTCAGAGCAACCACTGGCATGCACAAGATCTGTGGCTGGGAGCAGGCCTGGTCAGAGAGCTAAGAGGACACCCCTGCTGGGTTGTGGGTCCCATTGGTGAGCATGAGAGCCAGAATGGGGGCAGTGAACTGGGCTAGACATGACTGCAGTATACCTCAACATGTCTTTAGACTGGGTCTGTAAAGCACCATACTAGGCTAGATTCCAGTACCTGATAGTGCCCAAGGGAGCCAGGATGAGTATAAGATAGGCTAGGCTAGAACTTGGCAGATGGGCCAGGCAGGGCTGGACTGTAGCACCCAATAGTGAGAGCAGGAATGTATGTGAGCCTACTGGACAAGGCCGCTATACCTGCCAGGACAGCAGGTGGGCCAAGTCAGGCTGGGCCAAGAACCCACGAGTGTGCACAAGATCTGGAACTGGGAGATGACCTGACAGAGAAGCCTGTGTCAGTCATAGTCCCTGCAGGTGAGCACAAGAACCAAGACTGGGAGCAGCCCAGACCAGGCCAGGTTGCAGTACCCACCAGCATATGTGTGGCTCAGGCCTGGGGGCAGGTCAGGCTGGACCAGTTCATAGCACCCAATGGTAGATGTGAGAACCAGAACAAGGTGCAGGACAGGCCTGGCTGGGCTACAACAACAACCAATTCACCACAGGGCCGAGACTCAGGGCAGGCCAGCCTGGATGAGGCTGAGGTGTCCACCAGGAAATCCCAGGAGGGGCAGGGCATCCCACAGTGGGCCGCAGGGCCTACCACCACACATAACACTTGGAGGAGGGAAGTGAGTACAGTATGGGGGCAGAGGAGACTCCAATGCTGGGCCACCACTCCTGCTGGTGAGCATGAGAACTGTGACTGGGGCACACCAGGCTGGATAGCACTACAACAGCCGTTGGCCTACATGTGAACTGGTTTAGAGGAGAGCCAGGTTAGGCTAAGTGACCATATCCATTGGTGCATGCATGAGACAGAGAAAGTGCAGCTGCAGAATCAGCTGGCAAGTGCTGGGACAGGGTAGGCATGGGAGGGGCGCGAAGAGTAGATAGGTAGCAAGTTCTGTCAGGCTAGACCACAGAACCACCTGGATATCGCATGATTCAGGGCCGGGAGCGGGCCTAATACGGAAACTAGGGGCACCCCTCCAATGAGCTATAGCTCCCACCAGTGAGCCTGAGAACCAGGGCTGGGAGTGGACCTGGCTACACAGGCAGTAGCACCCATCAGCATAAGTACGGGCTGGAAAGTAAGGTTAGTTGGGCTAAGCTGGGCTGCAGCACCCATTGGTTATGCAAAAGTCAAATGGGATGTGGGACAGACCAGACCAATATGCTGTGTTTACTAGCATGCGCAGAAACCAGGGCTGGTGGCAGGCCTGGTGAGGGTTTTCAAGGGTCACTCCAACTGGGCTGTGGCTGCCCCTGGTATACAGGAGGGCCAAATGTGTCGTGGGCAAGGTTAGGCTGGGCTGCAGCATCCATCAGTTTTGTAAGAGATGGGGCTGAAGACAGAACTGACCAGACAACTGCAACAACCAGTGTGCATGTAGGCTGATGTGGGTGACCCCACACTGCTTGGCACACACAGGAGTTAGTTCCAGGGTCACCTCTAGCAAAGTTTTGCAGGGGGGACACAACTGAACCCCTAGACTCAGAACTTCAACCATAGAGAAAATCACAGGATCTGTGATCTGCCTATGGAGTGCATGTCAGAACTGGACCTCCTCAGTTGCTGAAGACAGTGCAGAGGACAGCATGCCAGATGCACAAGGAGCATAGGGCAGTTCACTGGGGCCTGCAGAGGACATCTAGTACTGTAAAAGGGGATGGAGGGCAGAACAAATTGGCCAAATCTCCAAGCCGAGCACTGACAGCAAATATCTGGGCAAACAGAGTGTAAAGTGGACTATGTCAACCAATGGACTTTGGAAGGATTTCCTCAACCTTGGAGCAACAAAATCAACAGCATCTCAGAACTATCAAAACCACCTGAGCAGTACCCTCAGAGCATGCTGCGCACTGGGTACCCTGGGCTGACATCCGGTGGCCACCCCATCCCTGGGTACTGATGTGGCTGCGATGGCGGTGCAGTTTCTTCCCTTCTTCCCCCCTTCCCCAGACACAGGAAGAAGAAAAAGAAAATTGGAAACAATGATCTCATCCATCATCCCCTGTTCCTCCATCCTTCCCACCCTAATCAGTGATCCACAAGGGAATGCACGCTTCTCAACTCTGTAATCACCATCAAAAACAAAATTTTAAAAAGACAAATAAAAAATATTTACACAAAATTTTAAAAATCAAAAAAAGATAAGTAACTTAGGACTTGACAGTAATAAAATTCACTAGCCCCGGACAACCTCTGAGACACAAAACTGCAGGTGGGGAAAGGAGGTACATACTCTGTCTCAATTTTGCTAATCTAAAGTTTCTGTAAATAAATAAATGAATAAATAAAAACGGGCCCAGTACGATAGCCTGGTGGCTTAAGTCCTTGCCTTGAGCGCACCAGGATCCCATATGGGTGCCAGTTCTAATCCCAGTGGCCCTGCTTCCCATCCAGCTCCCTGCATGTGGCCTGGGAAAGCAATCAAGGATGGCCCAAAGCCTTGGGACCCCGTACCCTCATAGGAGACCCGGAAGAGACTCCTGGCTTTGTATTTGCTCAGCTCCAGCCATTGTGGCCACTTGGGGAGTGAACCATCAGACCAGGATCCCATATAGGCACTGGTTCATGTACCAACTCCCTGCCTGTGGCCTGGGAAAGCAGTAGAGGATGGTCCAAAGCCTTGAGACCCTGCAGCCACATGGGAGACCCAGAAGAAGCTCCGGGCTCCTGGCTTCAGATCAGCTCAGTTCTGGCCACTGTGGCCCATTGGGGAATGAACCACCAGATGGAAGATCTTTCTTTTTGTATCTCCTCTCTGTATATCTGCCTTTCCAATAAAAATGAATAAATAATTTTAGTTACTTCTATTTATTTGAAAAGCAGAGCAAGAGAGAAAGAAAAGAGAGGAGAGAGTGATAGATACGGAAAGAAAAAGTTCTTCCATCTGCCAGTTCACCACCCACCCACCCACCAGTTGTGCTGGCCCAGGCTGAGCCAGGAGTTAATCAGAACTATCCAAGTATCCCACATGCAGAAGCCTGAGTAGCTTTTGCTGCTGCCACAGGCACACTAGTAGGAAGCTGGATTGGAAGCAGGGCAACTGGAACTCATACCACTGCTCTGGCATGGGACGAGGGCACCACAGTAGCTTAACATCTGACAATTTTTAAAAATAGAGACTGAGATGAAAAGATTTAATGCAACACAGAGAAATAACTAAAAGAAGCAAAGCTGAGATGAATGGGCATAACTGAGAATGAGTCATTGACCACACAAGGTGAAGTGGCAGACTGGTCAGTGGTCATATTACAGAGAAACATCTTTCAAATATTCTTTTAACTGTCTCTCCCTATCACTCTTTCAAATCAATAAATTAATTTTTCAAAAAAAAAGCAAACTCAGGTAGAAAATACCCAAAGTTGTTTCACAATAATATGGATAAACTATGGCATGTGACAGATTCTCTCCTTGAACAAACTCTGGTAGGATCCCGAGTCAACTTGAATGCTGGCAGCGGTTCTAACAGCTCAAGGTCAAATCTGTTCAAAATGACCCTTGCACCCTACACAGAGCCTGCCTCAAGGCTATCCCAAAAAAAGGCACTTTTTGTTCCAGCCAACATTTGAGGACAGGGTCCCTCTTCATCTCTGTAGAATAAAATCTAACTTTGTAACAGCCACTCAGCAAACTCAGCTGGCCTAGTTGCGTCCACGTTACAGTATCTTCTATAATTTTTCACTTCCCCAACTCTTTTTAGGCTCATTCCTCAAATAGCAGTAGGTCAGAGCTGCAGAGCTGAACCATATTGAAGCCAGAAGTCAGGAGTTAATTCCAGGCCTGCCATATGGGTGCAGGGTCCTAAGGACTCGAGTTATCCTCTACTGCTTTCCCTGGCCACAAGCAGGGAGCAAGATCGGAAGTGGAGCAGCAGGGACTCGAACCGGCACCATCTCAGACGCTGGTGCTGCAGGTGTTAGCTTGCTATGCTACAGCATTGGACCGTCCCTCACTTGCCCAATTCTGCTGAGCCTGCCTGCCTGCTCCCCTCTGCAATGTCTTATTCTTCCTTTAAACTGCCCAGTTACTTCTGTACTAAGCAAAGTTGAGGGGTTAGTGCTGACACAGGGATAAAGTCACAGCTTGCTGTTCCACTTCCTGTTCTGGTGCCTGTGAAGAGAACGAAGCTGGCCCCAGCACCTGAGCTCCTGTCCCCTCTGTGGGTGACCAGAATGGAGCTCCTGGTTCTTAGTTTGAAGGCTCAGCCCTTTGTTGTTGCAGGCATTTGAGGAGTAAACTCACAATTAGAGGATACTTCTCCTTGTTGCTCTGCCTTTCAAAAAACAAGAAAACTTCACAAACAGGCAACAGGTTAAGCCAAAGCCAATATAGTGCTGGTTCCAGTCCCAGTTACTCCACAATTACAATCCAGCTTCCTGGTAATGGCACCTGAAAAAGCAGAAGATGCCTGGGTACTGGCCTCCTCCCATCCACATGACACTTCCAGGTTCCTGGCTTGCGTGTGGCTCAGCCCTGGCTGTCACTGCCATTGAGGGAATGAACCAGCACATGGATGATCTTTCTCATGCACTCTGTCACTCAGCCTTTAAACATTTTAAAAGTCGATAAATTTTTTCTTAAAAACATGCTTTTCTATTCAAACCATGTAATCAGGTATTCAACAACAAACAAAAGATGTGATTGTGTTCGTATCACTTAGAAAAGTTTTCCTGGGGGCCAGCAGTGTGCAGCAGCAGGCTGAGTTTCCACCTAAGGCACCTGCATCCCAAATGGGCACTGGCTTATGTCTTTCCTGCTCCACTTCCCGTCCAGCTTCCTGCTAACGTACCTGGGAAGCAATGGAGGACGGCTCAAGGCCCTGGGCCTCAGCACCTGCGTGGGAGACCTGGATGAAGCTCCTGGATGATCAGCCCAGCTCCGGCCATCTCAGCCATGAGGGCAATGAACCATCAGATGTTAGATACCTCTCTCTCTTTCTCTCTTTCTCTCTCTCTCTCCCGCTCTAACTCTGCCTCTCAAATAAAAATCAAATAATTTTTAAAAGGGAGGAGGTTTCACTATCCACCTATTTTAGAAGCCCCCTTTTATTTGGAACAAGAAGATAATCTCTCACCTTCTACTTCATAACATGTCAATCAGTGGTTATTTTTTTAAAGAATTGTTTCTGTGATTACAGAATGGGATGAAATTATATTTTTGGCAAAAATTAAAGAAAGGAAGGAGGGGAACTGAGGGAGGGAGAGCGGCAGGCAGGAACATATGTTACACCTTAGATCTGCTCCTATAAAGTTCCTGAAATATTTATCTTTATACTAAAATAAAGTTACAGATAGAGGGTGAGAAAAACAGCGCCCATGTGGGATGCCAGGGGTGCAAGCCCCGGCTGCTCTGCCAACACCTTGGGAAGCAACCGGAGGACGGCCCAGGGACTCTGGCCTCTAAAACCCACAGGGGGGACCTGGGTGCAGCTCCTGGCTCCAGGACTGACCCAGCCCTACAGGACTCTATGAGAGAAGTCAGAGGCCAGAGACCTTCCTAGGGCGTGTAGACCGCAAAGAAGTTAACCAGGTGCCGACAAACGGTACCAGCAGGAAGAAGCGCGCACGCAAAGAGAAAAGGGGGGGGCTCAGCGTTATAGAACATGCGTGAGGGTGTAGGTGTCCCCGGCCCACACCTGGGAGGCAAGACAAGTGTGAGGATTCAGGTAACCCAGCATCTCTGCCAAGAGGCTGCTCGCCTGCTTCCCTGCTTGGGGCTGTCTGCAAGAGGACCCCACAGCTATTCCCGGGAAGCACAGCCTGTTCCTGGGGCTGCAGCCGGGATCCGAGCAGGTGGAGAGCCGGAGGTCCTGTGGACGGCTCCTTCACAAGGTACCCAAGAGAAAGGGCAGGAGGAGAAGCAAAGAAATGCCCCCCTCCCTCTCGAGACGGCCCAGCCGAGTGGTCACTCCGCGGCCGCCAGGCGCCCCGGACGAGCAGGACACACAGACCAGCGGCGCGGCCCGCCCGGTCCCCGTCCCCGGTGGGTCCGAGGTGCCGTCTACCTTGGTCATGCCGACCCCCACCACGAACACCCGGCGCTGGGGCAGCGACTTCCGCACGGAAGAGGTCATGGCTTGAGCCGGGGCCCGAGGAGGCGAGCGCGGAGAGGTGCGTGTAGCCGACAGCGAGCAGGACTGACTGGAACCGGAGCCGCAGCAGCGCGTCCTCGGGGCGGGCCCTGCGCGCGGGGGGCGGCGCGAGGCGGGGCGGGCCCTGCGCCTGCGCTCCCCGCGGGTGGAGAGGCCCTCGGGCCCGTGCTGGACCGCGTCCACCGCTGCCTGGAGACGGCCTCTGGGCTGTCCGCCGCTCGGGGGTCGTCGCCCCTGCGAGAGGGTAGCCAGGGGTAGCTGGCGCGTGAGGCTGAGAGCCAGGCTGCAGAAGCGACCTGGGAACACGGAAGTGTTGGAATCCCGCTGTGTGTTTGGGAAAACGTCCCTGCTGCAGCCTCCCGGCCCAGCAAGTCCTTAGGGTTTTGGCCTAAGGTGGTTGTTGCTGTTGCGGACGGCCTTTAGCAAAGCCTGTCAGTCCCGGGGAACAGCTGATCAGGCCTTGACCAAGGCAGGTAAACCCAGCAGTGGGCACGTGAGCTGCCCAGCCCGCGGAGAGCCTCGCTCTGCCCAGTTCATGAACCGTTGGTTCCTTTGCTCAAGCTGGTGTGGGCTTCCTGTTGTTGTTATAATAAGATGTCTATTTTCTTTTGAGCTTGATTGACCTGTTATTTATTTGAAAGGTACAGTGATTGGGTTTTCTTCTACCCTGTTTCAACTCTATTTTCAGTGTATTATTCACAATTTAGATGACACTACATTTTTGGCTTTTTTGTGGGTCTTTTGCTTTTTTTTTTTCATCAGTGATGTTACTGTTTTGAAGTTTATTTTATTTGGAAAAGTAATAGGAGAAGAGATCTTCCACCCACTTGTTCATTCCCGAAATTCCCGGAATGGCCTGACCAAAACCAAGAATCAGGAAACTGCATCCAAGCCTCCAAATGGGTGACAAGAATCCAACTGGCTAGGGCTGTCATCTGTGGCCTTCCCAGTGCATCAGTGGGAAGCCAGCGCAGAAGCAGAGACAGGATTCAATCCCAAACCATGTCTAACTGCATGCCCCAAAGCCCTTGCTTGTTAAGAATAGCTCCCAGGGCCCGGTGCCGTAGCTTAGTGACTGCTGGAATCTCATGTGGGCAATGGTTCATACGTATCCCGCCTGCTCCACTTCCATCCAGCTCCCTGCCTGTGGCCTTAGTAGAGGACAGCCCAAAGCCTTTGGACCCTACACCCACATGGGAGACCCAAGGGGGGGGGGCTGGAATGGTGCTTTTATGCCCACCTTGCGAGCCCCAGTAAAAAATTGCCACAGATTCAAGCATCCATATCCAGATCCCACTCTTTATTCAGAATTTTTTGGGGAAAAAAGATGGAGACCAGCCTTGAATATTTAGGCTCTCCCAGGAAATTCTGAAGAGCGTCCATTTTGTTAGGTGAACAACTACTGGACAGGAATATCTCCTCTTACTAAAACTTCTGGTCCTAGGAACTGCTTGGCTGGTAATGACAACATGGTGATTAATGGGTCAGACCTGGTTACCAACCAGAAGGCACAGGATCCAAATCATTACACACAGGCAGGCTGTCTACAAGATGCTGGTTTCAAAATAAGAGTCCACAGAGGTGGAGAAGGATAATAAAAGATGTTAACTCTGGAAAGGATAAGAAGAAGAGTTCCCTTTCCAGTGTGGAAGACTGGGCAACTCAAAGCCTCCCTACAGCAAAATACCATGAACACAAGGCACAGGGCAGAGGGAATTTTTTTTCATACAGTCTGAATGTCTTAATTGTTATAATATGTTATTTTATGTATATTACATTCATATTCATTTTTGATATGTCAAATGCTTGATTTTGCCATTATTTGGTTTTCATTTTTAAAATTTTTACTTATTTTCGTTTGTTTAAATGGCAGTTTTTAAGATTATTTTGAAATAATTGCACAGAGGACAATACGAGAGAGAAGAGAGCTTCCATCTGCTGGTTTACTACCCCAGTAGCCATAATGGCCAGGACCAGACGAGGCCAAAGCCAGGAACCTGGAGCTTATCTGGATCTCCCATGTGGGTGGCAGGGGCTCAAACACTTGAACCATGTTCCACTGCTTTCCCCAGGCCTTAAGCAGGAAGCTGGATCACAAGTTGAGCAAATGGGACATGAACTAGTACCCATAACAGAACGCTAATGTCTCAGGTGGCAACTTTACTGGCTATGCCACAGTGCTGGCCTGAGAGGTGGTTGGAGGGTGAGGAGGCAGGTTCAGAGAAGGGCAGGGAAGAGAGGTTTTCCATTCACTGGTCTAACTCTCTAAATGCCCATAACAGTTTGGACTGAGCCATGGCAACGTAAGGAGCCAGGCACTCGATCTGGGTCTATCCCCTGCAGCAGCGACTCAGCTACATTGGCCATCACCGACTGCCTCTGAGTGTATACTGGCAAGAATCTGAAATTGGCAGTGGAGCCAAACTTAAACCCAAGCACTCCAATATGGAGTCCTTTTTTTCTTTTTTTAAGAAAGCTATACAGAAAGAAGGAGAGACAGAGAGGAAGATCTTCCATCCAGTAATTCACTCCCCAAGTGGCCGCAACAACTAGAGCGAGCTGAGCCTCTTCCAGGTCTCCCACATGGGTGCAGGGCTTTTTGGGCCGTCCTTGACTGCTTTCTCAGGCCACAAGCAGGGAGCTGGATGGGAAGTGGGGCCGACAGGATTAAAACTGGTGCCCATATGGGATCCTGGCTACTGCACCTGGCCCTCCAATATGGAGCCTTAACCACTACATCAAATACCCACCCCTGTTGATTGTTTACACTCAAATACATGAAACAATATTCGGAAAGTCACCTTATAAGTCTTCCCTCCCATTTTAATGCTTTATCCTTCCAGAACTATTTTATTTAAATATAGTCACATATATGCATGCATTCCTAAATACTGTTACCTTTCTTAGTAAACACAAACTTTAGCTTTATTTACACTCTTCTTTATATCTTGATTTTTTTTTTTTTGGTATTTCAATAAATTTGCAAGCCTCCTAGTTTTTTAAATAGCTGCTTAATAATTTATGGATGTATCATAATTTATTTAACCAACCCACTAAGGAGCCTTAAGATTTTTCAGGAGAGCATAGTTAGCACAGTGGCCTAAGTCCCCACCTCGTAACCATGTCGGAGTGCCTGGCTTGAGTCCTAGCCACTCCTCTTGTAATCCAACTTTGTGCTGGTTTTTGTCACACAGGGCACCAGGTGATGGCTCAAACACTTGAGCTCCTGCCACCCAAACAGGAGACCCAGATGACGATTCTGATGGCTGGCTTCAGCTAGCCCAACCCTGGTTGCTGCAGACATTTGGTGAATGATCCATAGTGATCCAGTAGCTTCCAGTCTTGCTGTTATAAACAATGCTCTCATGAATAACTTTGCACATAGAGCATTTCATACCTGTGGGGATACATCTCTGGATTAAGTCCCTAGTATTGAAATGTTGGGTCCAAGAGGCAACGCATTTAGAAACTGGGATTACTCAAAAAGTTCATGAAAAATACATATTATAAGCAAACTCCACAAAATTTTTGCAACAAAATAACTGTATCCTTTAAATCACATTTTCCTGTGAGCTTTCAGAAGTACTCTGCTACCACAATTATTCTGTATTTAAAAATATTTCTGGGCCTGACACAATAGCCTAGTGGCTGAAGTCTTTACCTTGCCCTCACCAGAATCCCATATGGGTGCTGGTTCATATCCCGGCTGCTCCACTTCCCATCCAGCTCCCTGCCTGTGGCCTGGAAAAACAGTAAAGGACAGCCCAAAGCCTTGGGACCCTGCAGCAGTGTGGGAGACCTGGAAGAGGCTCCTAACTCCTGGCTTCAGATAGGCTCAGCTCTAGTTTCTGTGGTCACTTGATCAGTGAACCCATGGACAGACGATTTTTTTCTCTGACTCTCCTTCTCTCTGTAGTACTGACTTCCCAATAAAAATAAATAAATCTGTTTAAAACAATTTTCCAGGTCTGTTGCAGTGCTTTAAAAGGCTAATCCTCTACCTTGCAGTGCCGGCACCCCATATGAACATGGTTTGTGTCTCAGCTGCTCTACTTCACATCCAGCTCCCTACTTATGGCCTTGGAAATCAACAGAGGGGGGCCCAAAGCCTTGGGTCCCTGAACCTACATGAGAGACCTCGAAAAAGCTCCTGGTTCCCAGCTTCAGATTCATTCAGCTTGGGCTATTGTGGCCATTTGGGAAGTGAGCCAGTGGGTAGAAGGTCAATCTATCTTTGTTTCTCTCTTTCTCTCTCTCCCCCATCTCTCTGTAAATCTGCCTTTAAAATAAAAAACAATATATATTTTAAAAATTTCCATCAGCAATGAGAATGCTTTGTTTTCTCAAATATTGTTTATCTACCTAAAACCATAAATTTTACAAAAGTCCAGACAGTAGTTCCAAGACATTGCTGAGGAAATATTTGTCCTGGAAACTAGCAGAAACTAAAAAGGAGCTGGTATTTGGCCACTATGACCAAAGGTGAGTAGGTCAAAGATTCTTACAGGTCTCCCATGTGAATACAGGGACCCAAGGCCTCAGCCCATCCTGCCACACCACTGCTCTAGCCCTCAAATACATTTTTACTGCCCATTATCAGTGGAGCTGACCGAATCGGATTCTCCTGAATCATGTTTCCAGGCTTGCAGATGTTATCTGTTTCTTCACGTTCTGTTCCTTCTCTAGTCATGTGTGTCCAGATTTCCTCTTCTCATAAAGATAGACGCTACTAGATTAGGGCTCATTTTTTAAAAAGATTTATTTTATTTTTATTGCAAAATTTGATATACAGAGAGGAGGAGAGACAGAGAGGAAGATCTTCCGTTTGATGATTCACTCCCCAGTGAGTGCAACGGCTAGTGCTATGCTGATCTGAAGTCAGGAGCCAGGAGCTTTTCCGGGTCTCTCTTGTGGGTACGAGGTCCCAAGGCTTTAGGCCATCTTCAACTGTTTTCCCAGGCCACAGGCAGGAAGCTGGATGGGAACCAGGGCTGCTGGGATTAGAACCAGCACCCATATGAGATGCCAACTCATTCAAGGTGAGGACTTTAGCCATTAGGCCACTGCG